TTCCTACCCCGCTCTCGCCGCTGCCCTGCGCGCGCCTGCAGGGCCAATCCCCTCCCCCACCGCCGCCCAGCCTGGGCCCCCTGCGTGCGGGCTGCGCTCAAGCGCCTGCCATATTCGCGGCGCATTGCTTGCCCCGGGAAGTCCTTGCTTTGTTCCACTAGCCCCGGTCCTGCCTGGCCCAGGGACACCCTGGCGCTCCGATGAGTACACACAGGTGCTTGCAGGATCCGTGCATGGGGAGCTTGCTCTTGCAAATTTGGCCCACCGCAGGCAGACCCATGCCCTGGGAAGCCCCTGCTTGCAAGGGTGCGGGCTCCACCTTGCACGTCCTATGGGTGCGGGGAGTGTGCATGTATTATCTCTTTGTCATGCCCCGCAGCAAAATGAGGTCCTGGCCCCAGGCAACTGTGCCAGCGTGAGTGAATGAATAAATAAATATGCTTGCAATAGGGGGACTGCTTGTCTCGTGTCTTGAGAGACAATGCTTATTCCTGCTCTTTGTCTCTCCCGCCCTATTATCAAGTTATTACAAGAGAGTCTTCGTCCCATGTTTCCGGAATAGCCATGACCCTTCGGTCATGCATTATATTCAAATAAGCCCATTATAATATTGATTTTTTTTTTTTTACCAGAGGAGCCAGTGCTAGGCAGAGCACCAGGAAGAAGTGTAGGTCGGTGGCCGTGGGGGTCTTTCAGGACACATCATGCCCAAATAGCCATGATGGCAAAGAACCCAGTTCCAAATGCAATTGGCCAACAGATGAGGCCGTGGTGATGGATACATTCATGATTTCCAGCCTTGATTATTACAACTCATTATCTCTAGGACTGAAGCCACACATCCTGAAAAAACTCCAAATGATACAAACAGCAGCCTGCATGTTTAGCAACACAGGATGCGGGGAGCACATTACCTCTTTTCTGCCCTCTGAATTAGTTCCCTACTGAATATTAGAGCGCAGCTCAAACTCACTGCCCTCATATCCAAAACACTGCATGGGATTGGCTCCCAACTACCTGAGATACTCCTCTCCCTCCATGCTCATGGCGATCTCCTTCAGACAGCTGCACCCTATCGGAACAATAAAATCATCGCCCACGCAAGGCAGATTCCTCAGTGCAGGAGAAAGGGTCTATCTGAATGTCCTGACAATGACCATCAGTCTCACCACTTCCAGAACTAAATGGAAAACTGGTTTCTTCATCTTAGTTTTTCTGCACTTTCTTCTCCCTCTGCACGTCCACATGTGAACATAGAACAGTAAACGAATACAGATGAGATTGTTCCTAGTTCTAATTTTACATAACGGAGAAGCATTCATGTACTTCAAGGATGGGAGGGGGGACGACTCTCTAAGTCCCTACATAGAATCTTAGTGTGCTAAAATGCATTTGGAAGCCCGTGCAATAGCTGAAACCGTGGTGTAATGTACTCCTGCTAACCACCGATCCTCAGAGTTCTTCCAAATGAGCTCGGAGGGTAGCCTGCACATTGCCATAAGGGGGACAAATTCTCTGCTGGTGTAAATGGATGCAGCTGCACTGACTTCATTGGAATTTCCCTTCGTTTATATCAGAAGAGTTTCTGAGTGGTCTTCATTGCATAGAGCTGTCTAATACTCTAGACTCTAGTCGGAGTTCATAAGGGAATACATAACTGCCAAGGCCAACATCGAAGAGAAATGGTTTCAGCTGTTGTCCCTAGCTCCGGTCACTGAGGACCTATTTGAAATCATGGGATGGTGAGACCTGAGACTCCAAAAGCAATGGAGGACCCAGGAATATCCCTCAACTGAAAACTTGATTGAGAAGGGATTGACAAACCCTGAAAGTCACGGGGGCAGAAACCAGACGTGTAGATATTTTTTGCCTCGTTGAAGTGTCAGCTAGTTTCCTCTGATCCACGTCCTGTCATGGCCAGGCAACTGGGAAAGACACTGCATTGTCTGGGTTTACTATAGAGAGCACAGTTGTCACCTGCACATTGATGGAACTACAGCCATGAATGTCGTGTACACCAGGGAATATAAATGTCTTGAGTAGGGTTCTAATGAATTCTCCTTTGAAGGAAACTGGCATATCTCGGTCAGCATCAGATTCTGTACCTCCCTGCTTCGCCACGAGGAGCGGGAGTTCAACTTGCAGGGAGATGCCTGCTAGCACCGTACATCCAGAACTCTCTTGACTATATCTCAGCCAAGGAAGAGGTGGCTCTCGATAGCGGGGGGTTGTGCTAGGGTTCTGCACAGATGCACCGAGATCCTTGAAATCTCGTCACCTGCAGGTTTGTGGAAGAGACAATCTTTCACCTTCTGCTTTGAAGTGGGTCCTCCAGCAAGTGTAGAGATGTCACCATTCCTTAGATACTTTCACCTTGTCTCGGGGGTCCTACAGCCACAGCATAATAGAAAGTTTCATTACTTGTCTTCTGTATATAGTTTCCAGGATTAATAAAGGTTTATCTTTAAACTGATTATCTGGCCGGAAAGATACCACACAAGCCACAGAGTGATCAATGAGGAAGGTTTTTTTTTCAACTTTAAATCAGATTTTCCTTTTGCACACCACTCTATGGACCTATCATTAGGAAACATCTTCCATACCACCCAGTTGAAGATGGATGAATATATCAGAGAATCCCACTGTGCCTGACTTTTGCATTGGGCACTCTGGGAACCTCCCAAGTTCCAACTTGGATACATCTTCAACTGAGTTTCTTTGCAGGAAAACATGCTCTCTGTGTGATTAATAATCCACTGTTTCTTTGCCGTCTTCAGTTCTACTTTCTGCAGTTGCAGACTGAAACCTAGCACTGAACTATGGCCTACGGGCACTTACCGTTTGCTACTGGAGGTGCAGCAGTATGGACTAATGTAAATCTGTCCATTGCACATGCCATCTGAAACCAGGTGCCAACAAAATCAAACAACCAAAAATCCTCAGGAAGTCTAACTCTTTGGATCGATTTCAAGTTACAGCACAGGTGCGCTGTCCTTTCCCCTTGAAAGCGAAATAGTTTTTTTCCCTTGTAAAGTGAGCAAAATTATATTTGTTTAAATTGGTAAAACAGTGGATCTTCACTGAGGGCTAATTGCTGGCAAAGCTGTGTGTTAATAGGGTGTAGCGATGGGATAGTGGCGAGAATTTTCTCTCTCTCTCCCTTGAAATATTCCCATATCCCCGCATTTGTGCTCAGCAGCAAGTTGCTGCTTCTTAGTTCTGCTCCGTTGGCAACTACGTGCTTTTTTATTATTTTTTTCAGCGCGTTGCTTCCAATCCCAATTAAAAGATAATCGAACACACCCCGAAGAAGCCGTGTGGATTCCAAGCGCTGGCTTTGGGGGATTCCTCTCACTCAGAAACTCCTCTCACGGTGGAGAGCTCCTACGGCAAGTTTCAGCCCTCACAAAATGCGCCTTGTAGTTACAAACCCACGCAAATAAAAGGTCTGTGCCGGGACAGCCTCTGAGATGATAACGTTGCCGCTGCGCCAGGAGGAAGCTGGTACAAAAGAATAGAGACTTGCTGAGACGAGGGAGATTTTAGTTAAAGGGGGGCTTGAAACGGCCCTGAACCTAGACCTCCAATTCACCCCGGCCCTCCTCCGGTGGCAGTCAGTAGAGTTACAACGGGGATAGAGCTGCCCTGAACCTGCAGGGAAGCTGAGCAGTTTGTTTTTAAAACGGAAAGGCTACATGAAGGGGCATGCTTCAAAACAGAGGGAGGTTAGCCCTGTTGCGGGACCGAAACCCACAAAAAAGGTTGCGCCTCCCAGCTAAGTTTACCCATTGGGGAAAAGAGAGCCCGTTTGCCCACCGATTTTAAGGCTGCCCAAGAAGCAGCAGAAACCTCCTCTGTCCTGCACAGCTAGTGAAAGGCTCTGCCGGTTTGTTTTCTGGGGCAGATCGGATTCGGATAACGGTGAACCCAGGGACAGGGGTGTGCGAGTTAGAATAATACCCAAAGAAGATCAGGACACACACACACCCCTTTTCGCTCCCCAGAGGACAACAAATCTCTAGTGATTATAACTCTTGTAGGCCCCGCGAATGGGCCCGATCATGCTCCCAGGTCACTGACAGCTTTGCCATGACTCGCTATGGATCGAGCCTCTCGACGCTCTGTGGTAAAAGAAGTGACTTTTTTTTTGTTCACGGTGTCACAGACCAGTGTGAGAGGGTTTGCCTAGCCTGCTGTACGAGTCAGTGTTCTCTCTTCTTTAATCAGCTCCTGTAACCCCCAGCTCCTGTCCCTGGAGACACCCGTCTCCTGGAAAGCTTCAAACTCAAGGATCACAATTGTGGGTGATTTTACATTTTTAACAACTTTTTTAAAACTCAGATGCTCTAAGATCTCCTCTCGCCCTGGGGAGTCATTTCTGGGGGGAGGTTAAGGTTTTTGTCTCTTGAATTTTCGCTTTAGTTGATTCTCAGTGGGAAGCAGAAAAGAAGAAACGCTTCTTTTTCTCTTTCATGTAAAACTCACCTGCCTTCTGTTTAAAGTAGGAGGAGAATATTCCACACCTGTTTTGGATCGTGGATTCTCATTCGGAGTACAACAGGCACACATATCACTTTTCAGTGACAAAGCAGGCACAAACAGGACCTCTCCTACAATACTGGACTTTGTGTCTCCTTCCCAGCAGGGATAAAAACTGAGCACGGATCAGAATTAAAAAAGAAAAAAAAAACCTCTCGCAAAAAAACAGAAAACATGCCCTCATTTCATGTCCATTTCAGGGAAGCCTCTGGTATTTTAAGAGAGAACCTCTTATTTAGGCACAAAAAATCAAAATTGGAGGAGATGAGGGAGGGCGCAAAGTCCGAATACAGATCAAGTCCCAGGAAAGGCCTTTCCAACTTCCCGGTCCTTCCATAAAATAGGTATAAAATATTTTCAAGACGAAGGTTGGAAATAAAACGTCTCCAAGCCGGGGGGGCAGGGTTTATAAAATGTCTCCAAGCGAGAAGGAGGGGTATAAAACATCCCGAAGACACCTCATTGGGGTAAAACATCCCCAAGGGGATATAAAATAACCCCAAGGGGGGGGGGGGGG